TGTGTGTGTGTGTGTGTGTGTGTGTGTGTGTGTGTGTGTGTCTGTGTGTGTGTACATGCCTATACACATAGGGATCAGAAAAAAGATATTGGCTTAGCCCTTGGAGCTGGATACAAGTGTGTGCAGGACTCCCACCTGTTACATCACACTAGGATCTGAACTCTGGTCCTCAGGACTACAGAGCAAACACTCCCAGCTACTTAGCCACCTGCCAGCCTCCAACAGGTTCATTCATTTTGGCACACAGCGTTTCTTTTATCTATCTATCTATCTATCTATCTATCTATCTATCTATCTATCTATCTATCTATCTATCTATCATTTATCTGTCTGTCTATCTACCTATCAATCATCTATCTATCTATCATCTATCTATTTTGAGTCAGGGTTTCTCTGTGAAGTCCTGACTGTCCTGGAACTCACTCTGTAGCCCAGGCTGGCCTTAAACTCAGAGATCCACCTGGCTCTGCCTCCCAAGTACTGGGATTAAAGGCATGCGCCACCACGCCTGGCACATCTTTCTTTTTTTTAGAAATTTGCTTAAAAAAAAAAACTATGTAAATATGGGGAAAGTGTGCATATGAGTGTAGGTTCCCACAGAGGCCAGAGGCATCAGGTCCCCCTGGAACTGGAGTTACAGACACTTAGGAGTTGCTTAACATGACCGTTGAGATCCAAACTCGGGTCCTCTGCAAGAACAGTATGCACTCTTAACTGCTGAGCGGTCTCTCCAGCTCAGCACGTAGTGTTTCTAAGTAACCTGGCCAGCCCCGAAGGCCTTTGTGTTTATAGCCTGGGCCTTACCTCACCCACACTTCAGCAGACCTGAGGCATCAAGGGGACAAGGACATCAAGGGGACAGAGGCACTGTTTTCCTTGCACAGCATGTGGGTAGCTGTGAAGAGCACCATGGCTCCGACAGATCTCCACTGCAAGACTTCCTACAGTGCTTGTAGGGGACACTCCCGCCAGTAGTCATATCGGCAGGTCTCTAAAAGCCAAGATGAGGCCTGGCCCGTTGCTGGAGTATCACATGGCAATAACGGAAAACGGATGTAGAAGAAAATGACTCTATTCATCCACAACTTCAGAAGGGCTAATGTTTTACTTGATGGAACGGGGCCAGATCTCTGATCTCACACTGCCTAGGCAGACCTTTCTCCACGGCCATCAGCTGGGAGTCATGTGTCTTCTGTGCAGTAGGACAGGGGCAAACACCCCAACATTCCACATGCTCTGGAGGCCTGCCTTGCTGAATTCAACAGAATACAGCTCCATCATGGGGTGGGGGCCATTAATTAGTCTATAAAATAACACAGTGCCACTGCCAGCCAATTCCTTCATTCCCACCCCTACACGGTGCACAGCAAGGAGCCCTTTCTGGGTGCCCTTCTTCCCTGAGTTGCCTTGGTAGGGCACAGACTCCATCCTACCTTGTGAAATGCAGCCTGTAGCCTGCACGTCAGTTAGGTTGTGAGAAGGTAATAACAAAGTTCAGAATAACCAAAGCCAATGGCCAAAAGGGATCCTGCTTTTACCTTTTCAAAGATTCTGTGTGTTTATGATGTGTGGGCATGCACGTGTGTATGCATGTGCATTTGTGTGCAGGTGTGCAGGTACATGCATATAGTGCCGTGTATCTGGAGGTCAGAAGACTTCCACCTCCTTTGAGACAGGATTTCTTTCTTGTTTGCTGTCGCCTACACCGGGCTCTGTTTCCACCTCTCATCTTGCCGCCTGAACTGGGATTACAGAGGGGCACGCTGACAGCTGGAGATTCACACTCAGTCTACACGCTTGTGCATCGAGCACTTTGCCAAGCCATTTCCCTAGCCCCACACCTTGTTTGGAGACAGGGTCTCACGTCAGTCAGGTTGGCCTTAAACTGGCTATGCAGCTGAGAATGACCCTGAATTGTTGTTGTTGTTGTTTGGTGTTTGTTTGTTTTTGTTTTTCGAGACAGGGTTTCTCTGTGTAGCCTTGGCTATCCTGGAACTCACTCTGTAGATCAGGCTGGCCTCAAACTCACAGAGATCCGCCTGCCTCTGCTTCCCGAGTGCTGGGATTAAAGGCGTGCGCCACCACCGCCCAGCGACCCCGGAGGCCTCTGCCTCCACCTCTTTAGTGCTGGGATTACAGGCATGTCTTACCACAACCAATTTACATGGTGCTGGGACTCAAGCCCAAGGCTTCAGGCAGGGAAGACATTACTCTCCAAACTGAACTGTATTCCTACCCCTCTATCTTCACCTTTTACTATCCTGCAAGCCTCATCTGATGATCTAAGATGCTTTATTACATCTATTTAACCAGAGCTGGGCTAATGAGAAAAGCCCCCGCCCCCTCCGCTGACTACTTTCTCTGCTAGTACTCGCTATCAGTGATTTTAATCCTAAACAGTTCATTCTCCCTGCTTCCTACTGCTTGAGGCGGGAGGGGGGGCAAATTTGTCCTCTGCAAACAACCTCTTCAGGTGGCCTCGTCATTCCTGCCTCCCAGAGCCTGGACTATCCTCCTCAACATGTGCTCCCTCTCCAGAAACCTGGCCCAGCTAGGGGCCCAGAATAGTCCTCACCATGGTCATGTAGGTGGCCTCTGATTGTCCACTTGGTCCTTCATCCATCGCCTCCCACGTAGTTATTGAGGAGTAGACATGTTTCTGGGGGGTTGGGGAGAATACAAGATTCTTAAGGGTCATCCAGGAAAGAGACTGTTCACAGGAAATCAGCTATCAAAGCCATCAAGTTCGGGGGTTATGGAGAGCTAGAGAATTGTCATCAATGATGATAATTCCGACTTCAGTCTTCCTGAGTAAACTCACGGGAAAGGGTGCCAGCCTCAAGAACCAACCTGTCTGCTTCAAGACCAAACACCTTTGCATCTCTAAGCACTGACTTGGCAGTAGGGGACCCTCATCCTGCAGAATAACTTGTAGGCTGGCACTAATTATCAGCTGTTATCATCTAGCAGAGGGTTGATATGGCAAGGACAGCCCTCCCTGAACCTCACAGCTCTGAGGTCTGGGGACTGTGATTCACCATCACGTCACTCTTAGGAAAACGACACATTCTCAGGCTTCTGAGGATTGAACCGGGTTGAACGAAAATTCTCCTCTTGGGACAAAAGCAACCCAAAACTCAGGAAGCCGATCAAAGAGAAGTGTGTAAAAGTTAAAAGGGGAAAGGGAGAAGAAGAGAAGGAGGGGGAAGGAAGGGTGAGAATACAGGAGCTCGGGGAAATTCACCTCTCAGCTCCTGTTTATAACTCCACTTCAAAGCACTATGAAGGGGGAAGTCCTTGGTCCCCTCTAAAGGTTCCTGAATACACCTACTCTTAATCATTAACTCCTTAGCTCATGAAGGTAACAGAGTTCTCCGATTCCAGGTCCAGGGCTCTTTCCTGTACCTACCCCCAAGATCTGCTGCCCAGGGCTGATCCGACCCAGGCTACCCTGCCCCAGCCCATTCCTCTGCCGCAGTGATAAAGACTTTTTGAGTTACTGCCTTGCACAGAGCCCTGGCCTGTGGACTGAGCTGAAACTAATGAGTAAGATACTGTTCCGAAGTGATGGCCCCCACCCTCCACCTCCCGGTGCTTCCTGCTGGAGTGTGTGGCCACTCATGTCCCCCTCAGCTGGCAGGCTGTCCTCTCACCTCTGGATTAGCTTTCTCTTTGCTCTCCAGGCTCTTCAAGGAAGGTGTAGAATTCACTGAACTGTAAGGCATGAAAAGTACATGGAATTAACACTCAGAACCTCACAAGGTACACTGATTCACGTGTCCTAGAAAGGACCCTCCACTAGATGGATGGGTCTTTTGCATCCAGTGGGATACCCACATCACATAGGACCCTTGCATTACTTTATGGAGAGACCCTCGGGAGGAACTAAATACAAAGAGAACAGCTCTTCTGATGGGAAATGAGAAGGTTCTCTGAGTTTAGGCTGAAACATGACTTCGCCTTCTCTGTTTTCCTCTAACAACCTCTGTCCCACAGTGGGAGGCAGAGTATAGCGGGGCAGAGTGGCATCTTGAAGTCCCAGCTAATCCTGAAGCATGAAGCCAGGAGTTCAAGACCAGCCTTGGCAGCATGTAGAGATCACATTGTAAATATACTGTCGTCGTCGTCGTCGTCGTGTGTGTGTGTGTGTGTGTGTGTGTGTGTGTGTGTGTGTGTGTGTGTGAATGTGAGCATGCTCAAGTTACAACATGTGTGGAGAGGTCAGAGGACAACTTTTCATAATCTGTTCTCTCTTTCCACTTTGTTGAGACAGAGTCTCTCTTGCTGCGCGCTCTGCATATGCCAGGCTAGCTGACCAGCTAGCTTCCAGGTGGTTCTCCTGTCTTCATATCTCATCCCACCATAGGAGAGCTGGGGTTACAAATGCAAGCTATGGTATCTGACTTTTCATACGGGTTCTGGGAACTGACCTCAAGGCATCTCACTGGCCCAAGAGACCTCATTTTAACGAGAAGAGAGGGGAGAAGAGGGAAGTGAGGGGAGGGGAGGCGATGTGAACAGAGGAGGTAATATAATTTTAAATGACTGAACAGAGAGGGCCCACGGCATTTGACCTCACCATCTTGTTCTCAGTACTGAGAACTGGAACTGTCGATGAGCCACGCACATGCAGCAAGACCACATTTCCCGGGTCTGTGACACCCCCAGTGACCCCCCAGTGACCCCCCCAGTGACCCCCCAGTGACACCTGAGCCAAACGCCCCAACACCCCCCAGGCTGTGCGCTCTGACCCTTCCCTGAACAGGCCCTTCCACTTTGCTCTCTCGGCCAGTTGCCTCATGCATTTGTCAGTAAATGTAACTTTTTTTTTTTCCTGTTTTGATCTAAGGCAGATCTTTTTTTAAAAAGGTATGGGCATAAAAATAAACCATGTTTGTCTCAAATGGAAATGTTTTTATCGTATGATTGTAAAGTTGTATATTCTCACTGTTAAATGAATCAAATACTACAGAATTAGACAGTTGGAAGCTGAGGTTTCCAAGTGGTCCCCTTAGGCGACAGGATCGTTATCTTCAATGTCTGATAATGCTTCAGAACTATCCTTCAGGACCCTGTCCATGACTGCTAAGTAAACTCCCAGACAAAACATATCCAGTGTACAGGCGCCTGCCATGAACACTGTAGTGCTTCTTTTCTATAAAATCGAGATCATACTGCGCATTTTCCCTCACAACCTTCTTGGCTACCATCCCATACCCTCACATGCTGGCTCGTATGTAATGGTATATTCAATAGAATGCCCATTCATCCAGTCATTGCCTTCCTGAGAGATGCTGTACTCATGATGACTCCAGGTTTTTATTAGCAGCAAAGTTCCAGTGACTGTGTTTATGTGGGAATCTCAGAATAGTAATATTTCTTTAGAATGACTTTCCATGACACGGAGGCCCAGAGTATGGACATGAATTGGGAGCGGAACTCACACTGTGTGGCTCTTAGTCTTACGTTCAAATGCATGCCTGGAGCAATGACCCTTAGAGGTGCCAAGGAAGTTTAATGCCAAGTCACACAGCTCTGGGAGTAGTGGTGTACCTGAGCAGGCACAAATGCTTTCTTTAGAATCTACCGTCCCCGGGAAAAGTCACTCAGACATCAGTGTTGTGAGGCTAGAGGTGGTGTGACTTAGTGATAGAAAGCTTGTCTAGAATGTGCAAGATCCGGGGTCCAATCCCCAACACAGTAAAAGAGAAAAAAGCCAATACTCTTTGGTCTTTATGGGTCTTTCCCACTGCTGTGATTTCAACTGAGGCATTAGCTTAAACTGCCAACATGTTTCACTAATATTCTGTAAACAGAGACGCTCAGAGCTGCTGATAGTGAAATACTAGCATCTGTATCCTGGCATTTGGGCATTTCTAAGAGTCTGGGAGAGCTCCTGATGAACTCCAACCCTTGAACACATTTCAAGCCAGGCACAGTGGTACACACCTGTAATGCCAGCAAATGAGAGATTGAGACAGGGGGACCATGAGTTCAAAGCCTGCCTGGGTACATAGGGACTTCTGTCTCAGTCTCCATCCCATTTCATAACTTCTTTTAAGCAGTCCATGAGTACTATCACAGCCTTTACATGAGGTCTATATCTGAATTGTGTTCCACGTAAACCCCCATTTGTGAGGGAGCTGATAATCTTTGTATAACAGCAAGGAGAATGAGCATGGTACAGCAATGTCCAAGCCTTTCTGAAGTGTGGTGAGCAAGGGGGGCAGAGCCACCTATAATGACATCAAATATAACCATCAATGCACCATCACAGGGCACTGGCACTCTCTCCCTCTTTGGATTAGATGAGATCAGGATCACATTAGGGTGGTATGGCTACTCTTCCACTTGGATTAGATGAGGTCAGGCTCATATTAGGGTGGTATGGCTACTCTCCCTCTTTGGATTAGATGAGATCAGGCTCACATTAGGGTGATATGGTTACTCTTCCACTTTCATTTAGAAATAGACTACACACTTGGCCTCCCGACTGGAAGGGTGGGGATGGCCACATACCTCTTATTGCACTGGGTTTTCTTCACAATCAGTATCAAAACAGGGAGTAGCAAGAAGGTGGCACAGAGAATCCCCACAATTATCACCAGCTGATTCCCATCCAAGATCGTCAGCTGATCAGTCTTGGGTCGAGGAGTTGTTGAAATTGACACTTGGGAATGAAGAAAGCATTGAGGATCTCAGTATTCTAGAAGAGTGGGGAGCCCCCATAACCCCATGCCAAACAGCAGCAGCCAGGTCAGGAAGCAGGGAGAGAAGGCCAGGCTGCATCCCCTATCAGGACACAGGCACACCATTCCCGTTAGACTAAGAGCCAGGCCAACCGCCTTGCTTAGCCCTAAAGTGTGGGTTAAACTTGGCAGAAGCGACTGCCTTCGCCTACGCGAGATCACCCTTTTACATCAATAATTCTATGTTAAAACTTGGTTTACCGAATGACTAGATATAGCAGGCATTTTCAAGGCCACTGACATTTTTATGGGCAATGATTGTCTCAGAAAGAGTATATGCTACAAGATCCAGATGCACAGTCACAATGCTAACTAGGGCCTCCGGGATATTTCCACTGGTATAATACCCGTCCCTCAGCTCCTCTATTCACTCTAAAGACATATATCAGCATTTCTTTGGCACCAGAGATCTCTAGACACAGAGGATGCCTACAAAGACAACTGATGGCCACTTCTTGCCTCCGAAGAGGGAGACAAGCATGACAACATAGACATCTGTCTGTAGGGGGGGCAGAATGGCACAGAGAATGGGGTGCACAATTCTGTGAAGAGCATGGGAAGGAACTTCTGCCAGCAGGTGCTAGATTTTAATGTGAGTTTTTAAAGAAGCATTCCGTTTGATAGTCTGGAGAAAGGCCAAGAGGATGTCACGCCCAGGGTCTGGTGGCCTGACGGGGTGTTTTGAGGAAGTGGAACCAGCTCCACAGGTGCAGGTCAAAGGTTGAAGCTGAGGATGCGGAAGGAACTTAGGCTGGAGAAATAATGGGGTCCAAGTCAGGAAGGCGCTTCATCGCCTCGGCAAAGCAATTGGCTTTTTTTTTTTTTTTTTGCTACAAGTCCGGGAGAAGTCAATGTGAGGTGTATCTATCAGTGGTGGGGTAGAGTGCTCTAACTTGTGATTTAGAAAGAAGGCCTTGGCTAAGAATGAGAGCAGAGGCTGGATAGAGGCCAAAGTCTAAAACAGAAGAGAAAATGGCCAGAAGTAAGCCTGGTGAAGGCCTGGAAGGACGGTGGCCTCAAAATCAGCCAAAGAAATGACACGACTTATTAGGAAAGAGAAGACTCAAGGGCCACTCACTCCCTGGCCTCCAGTTACCTAACCGTATCCATGGTGGTGGCATTCCCCAATGTTGGGAAGATGGGATGAGGGAGAGCCATGCATATTTGAAGGATCTGTAGAAATTTGGTGCGGAGTTGAAATATATGCATGCGTATAATAACCCCGCTACACACACACACACACACACACACACACACACACACACACAAAACCAGCCCTCATCTCCATGTGTTCTCATGCTTAGATTCAGCCAACTGCAGAATTGTTATCTGTGTTGAATATATGAAGACCTTTTTTTCTCACCATTCCCTAAGCAATGTGAGGCAACAATTACTTATATTAGGTATTATCAGTAATGTAGAGGTGATTTTGAGTGTAAAAGAGGTTATGTGTCTGTAATAAATAAATATTTTTTAATATAGCATTTTTTATAGAAGGAGCTTACACACCCACAGATTTTGATGTTTTCAATGGAGGAATAAGTCCTGGAGCCAACCAAATTTCCTGAGATATCAGGGGACACATATGGCTGTTTATAAACATTTGTGCCAACCTAATTGTGACCAATATAGAATGTGGGTTAAACACAGCATCTGAGATCACTGTGCTGAAGAAGGCTGGGGGTGGGCGACTCGCATGCCCCCGGGGACATAAGCTAGAGTAGACCTGGCAGTAGAGCCTGAATCACAACAGAACCGTGGGACGGGAGCTGGGGGGATGCCAGAGCACAGGTATAGATGCAGCCAGCGCAGGAAGGCCTTCAGCTGCCTCAAGATGGCATGCGGAGATAAGAACGGGGTGGGTGTAGACTTGTCGGTGGGTAGGGTGGCCTCAGAAGGAGGTGAGCCCCCGCTCCCCACTTTAGTGTGTGTGTGTGTGTGTGTGTGTGTTTTTTCTGTGGAGTGGAAAGAAGGCTTGTGAGAAGGGAGCACACACAGGGATGAAGAAACTTCTTGAAGAAATCCACCTCTCCTGCTTCCCTCTTCAGCTGGGACCATTAGCACTGACAAGAAGGTGTCTCTGGCCTGAGACACTGAGGTACTTCCCTTTCCAGTCATCCCCCCACCACCACCCTTCGCCAACCACAGCCAGCTCCTTCAGGCCCCAGTGAGAGGCGAAGTCCACAGGCCACATCCTGAGTGCTCACTGAGTTATGATTTAACCCTCACCTCACACCGCCTGCCTCAGACAACACAATTAACACTTTCTTCTCCTCGGTGCACACTGTGTGCGCGGAGACCCCTCTGTTTCTCATTCTGGAACCTTCCTCTTTTCTCTCTGTTGCTTGCTCGCTCTCGCGGCTTAGGATTAGTTTCCCTCCACAAGGATGTGCGACTCCCTCAAAGTCAAGCAGGCGTGACTCGGGACCTTCACTCCACCCACTCCACCTCTGAGCTCCCATGCCTTTGCAGCAGTGGACCACACCGGCCATGAGTGGGGTTTGGTGGAGACTCGGCGTTTGCCCTGTGAGCGCCCTTTTCCATGCCTACCACCAAGCAGAACTAGGGCACGGCGAGCCCAGGCATCTGGTGAGCCAGGTGGATGGCGGCATCATCACTCTCAGGGTAGTGCAAGTCCAAGACCAGCCCCTGGGAGCCCTGCCTCCTCCCCCTGGGCATGCCTGGAGCCTCCCTGACTCACTCCAGAAATTGTGCACAGCCCCTCCGCCCTCTTCACCCAAATATTGGTTACTTTGAGATCTCTCCTGGACCACACGCAGCTCAATGGTTTTCCTGGACTCCAGGTTGCCCAGGTAGATGCGACAGGTGTAGACTCCCTGGTCAGACTCCTTCACTGTCTGAAGCATGATAGAGCCGTCGTTTCGGGAGATGTCGCCCATCAGGTTTACCCGGTTTCGGAAGCGGCCCTGGTTCTGGAAGAACCCACTACGCTCCTTGAAGTCATAGCTGTCGAAGTCATAGCGCCAGACAACCTCCTCCTAAGGGGAAAGGTCAAAAGCATGAGGTTTGGAGGACTGCAGGGTGTGTACTGGAGGAAACCTCAGAGCTGACAGGGCCCTGCCATGTGAGGACAGGGAGAGTGTTAGATAACACAAAGTCTTGCTCGCATGCACGTGAACAAACAACACATGTGTACTGGTGAGGAAGACACCAGACCACAAACAGCCGTTCTGTCGGAAGAAGTGGGTTGGGGGGGGGGGGCGGTGGCTCTGGCCTGTAATCCTAGCTACTCAGAGGCTAAGGCCAGAGGATAGCAAGTTCAAGGGAGTAATTTAGCCAGACTCTGTCTCCGAATAAGGAGTAACAAGACAGAAAAGTTATAATTCTGCAGCAGAACGCTTGCCTAGTGCACATGAAATCCTGAGTTCAATGCCCAGCACCGGAGCTAAAGACAAGAGAGAAACAGAGACAGAGAATGAGAATATAAAGTAAAAGTAGTTCACTCTTTTCCAGAAAAGGAAAGGAAAGGAAGGAAGGAAGGAAGGAGGGAGGGAGGGAGGGAGGGGGGAAGGGAGGGAGGAACAGAGGGAGGGGAAGACAAAAGCACACTTTATTGTCCCTGCACTTCCAGTTGGATTTCCAACAGGCAGATAAAGCTTGTCTAAAATTGACTGTTGCCCCCTAAACCAGTTCCTTCCGGTCCATCCCATTTCAGCAACCGGCAATGTCTTCTTCCAGATGTTCAAGCTAAAGATCTTAGAGTCATCTTTAATTCCTCTTCCTTTTTTTTAAAATTTATTTTATTTAATTAACATCTTTTCACTTATTTTTCATACCGACCAGTTTGCCCTCCCTCCTAATCCCTCTTTCTTAAGCCACTTGTATCGAACTCTCCAGAAAATCTGTGCCCTCTGCCTTCAAAACACATCCCAGCCCTCTCAGCCACCCTTCCACTGCCAGGCCAGACCCAAGCCATGGCTCATCTCTACCAGGGGCATCTCTCCTGCAGGGGCCTTCTCACCTGTCTCCCTGCCTGCCCTTCCCCACAGTCTACCCTCAGCGGATGAGCTTTGAGAAACCTAAGATCCAGCATGTCGTCCTCCGCTCCAACCTCCCCAGGCCCCTCATGTCTCCTGCAGGCCTTTACGATCTGCCGGGTCCCTTCCCTCTCTCACACCCATTTTCAGTTCCTTCACTAGCTGTAGTTACACAGACACCCAGGCTGAAGGCTGGTCTCAGGGCTACTGTTCTTGGTACTCCCGTGACTGGAACCCTCTGGTTCTCTCCGCTTACTGTCTTCACACCAATCCCTAAACACCACCTTGATGAGGCTTCCCCGACTAGCTACACAGAACGACAACCACAGAGCTCGGCTTCATGGTTCTTCCTGGCTCTTTACTTCTTGTTGTTTTAGATATTCATCTTGTCGTTGTCTCGCTGTGGCTCCCTCCTCCACCTTTACTGCTACTGCTCCATCAAGACAGGGGCTTTGTTTTAGTTGTTTTTGAGACAAGGCTTCCCTGTGAAGCCCTAGCCATCCTGGAACTCACTCTGTAGACCAGGCTGGCCTCAGACTCACAGAGATCTGCCTGCCTCTGCCTCCCCAGTGCTGGGATTAAAGGCGTGTGCCACCACAGCCAGGCCAGGACAAAGTCTTTAAATGAATGGATATTGAAATGTTTTACAAAGGTATGTGGTTATTTGGTGATGGTGGTCATGGTAGAGGTAGTGGTAAGGACTGAAACCATGGCCTTATGCATACAAGGCAAGGGTTCTTTCTACTAATGAGCTACATCTCTAGCCATAGATTTTTTTTTTTTTTTTCCAAAAAAGAAAGAAAAGCCACTGGGCAGAGCCAGGCAGATCTCTGTGAGTTTGAGGCCAGCCTGGTCTACAGAGTGAGATCCAGGACAGGCACCAAAACTACATACAGAAACCCTGTCTAAAAAAAAAAAAAGGAAAGCCTTTGAGCAAAGGAAATGAGTTATAGGCAGAAACACAAATGTAGAGACTTGGCCCCAGCTCCTCTTTCTGCCGTGAATCATTTGATGCATGACATACAAATGCATGACAATGGGGACTGGAGAGACGGAGTCAGTGTTGAGGGCTGGACTGGTCCCAGGCTTTCCCTGAAGCCCTGACGTGTGGGGGAGGCACACAGCTAGCTCCTCTAAAACTAGGAGCTTGCCTGGCAGAGCCTGCAATGGCCAGGGGCCAGGGCCTTGGGCGAGCTGTGGCTTCAGATCCTGAGAACTCAACTCCTCCCACTCTAAGGGGCTATAGTTACCAACCCCAGGGCTGATGGTACTCAGTCTATAATGTCCTTGAGACACCCTGTGTCCCCTAGTGCAACACTTGATCAGCTTCCTGCCCACTTCGCCCCATCCCATGATAGTTTCTGAGGACTGTCCCATCTCTCCCCTAGAAATGCTGTATAACGTGCTGTCCTTCTTAACAAACCTGCTTGTGTGAGCCATGAGCGTGTGCAAGACATCCGAATGCCAGACTTCCTAGCCTTTTCTTTACCTTCATCTGAAGGCCACCCCCCACTTAGGAGCCTGCCAATAAAGAACTATCTGCTGGTCCAGTCAGCTCAGTAGTGAGAGGGACTTGTTCTTTCAGAGGGCCCAGGTTCAGTTCCCAGCACCCACACAATGGCTCACAATCATCTGTACTCCAGTTCCAGGGAATTAGATAGCCTCTCCCCACTCCATGGACATCAGGCGTGTATGTGGTGCATATGCACATGTGAAAGTAAAACATTCACACACGGAAAACAAAGAACAAATTGATAAACAAAAACCTAAATGCATGACGAGCTCTTAGGAGCGAGCGTGGGGCTACGTACCATCCCCCACCCTCTACCATGATGCCACCCCTTCTGATGCCCTCAGATAGCATCCAAGAACCAGGTAAGTGTGAGTGACTTTGTTAGTGAGATGACCTGGAACACATTTTAATTTATAAAACTGAAATCATTTATGAAACTTCTCACTTTAACTTCTATCAGTAAGTCAACTAAGATGTCGCTCACAACACAGTTTTTATTACATTTCTTTATGGAGGGGCAGTTGCATGGTATGAACGTAAAAAGTCAGAGGACAGCCTGTAGAACTCTGTTCTCCCCTTCTATCATATGGGACCCAGGGGCTGAACTCAGCTCATCAAGCTTGGGAGCGAGTAAGGGCCATCTCACTAGCCCTCAGTACACATTTTGACCCCTAAATACCATGTCATCGTTGAGATCTGTTAGTCCGGTGAACTAGCTTGCTACCTGCTGCTTTACAGGCTACAGTTCCTATGAATTATCCTTCACTCTGGCTCCCAAGGGTCTACCAATCCCAAGCCCTGGAAAGTCTATGAAGATGTAAAAAAACAAACAAACAAACAACACAAAAAAACAAAAAAAACAAATCTCATCACACAAAGTGAGTCACGGAGCGCCAGGCAAAGCTCACAGAAATAGCACACATTAGGACAAGAATGTAATTGTGTTCTTAGGCCTGGCCCACTGCTTTCCTGGTTAGGCCACAAAAACCACCCTGCTTTGCCCTGACGAGGATTGTACAATGGAGAGGAGGTAAAGGGAGTCTCAAACGCAGTGGCCACATCATGTACAAAGTGCTTCCCGTGTCCCATTGCACATCAGTGTCTTAGAAACCTTAACATTTAGGCAATCAGCTCTTCTTCCCCCTCCTCCTTCCCCTTTCCCTCCCACACTTCCTCCTCCTCCTCTTTTTCTCCTCCTCCTCTCTTCACCCTCCTCCTCTTTCTCCTCCCCCTCCCCCCTCTTCCATCTTCTCCTCCCTCACTCCTTCCTCTTCTCTTCAGTAGAATCGTATTTCCCACCAAAAAGCCAAAGTTGTCCAGACAAGGGGCTAAAGCAGGAGCCCAGGTCTGACAGACTCCCAGGCCTGGGCTTTTCCAGTGTCACCCACCACATGCCCACCACATGCCCACCACATGGTACCTGATACCTGATTCACCTCTCCCTGTCCTTCCCTGCCTCCAGCCAGGGGTCTCTACAGTGAGGGCTCTTCCCCCTTACCTTGTTATGCTTCCCAGAAGAAAACATCCAGTCCACCTTGGTAACATGTTTCTCTTTTGTGCTCTGGAAAAAACATCCCATCGGGACTGAATCGCCAACATGGACTGTGAGCTCTGGGGATAAAATGATAAATTGAGTCAGACTTAATATAATCAAATAGAGTTTCTAGACAATAAAGTCTGGGGGCTGGGGAGATGACTCAGTGGGTAAGAATGCTTATTCTGCAAGCCAAAGAACCTGAGTTCAAATCCCTAGCACCCACATTAAAAGCCAGGCACATCGCTTTGGAACCCCAACATTCGGGAGCAGAGACAGGTGGACCTGAGAGCTCTCTGGCCAGTCACCTGAGCCAAAATGGTGGAGTTTCCGGTTTAGTGAAAGACCCTGTCTCAAGACAAAACAGTAGAGAAAGGTGGAGGAGGGCAAATATAACTGCACCCTTGAGTATATGAAGAGCACAGAAAAAGAGAGAGAGAGAGAGAGAGAGAGAGAGAGAGGGAAGGAGGGAGAGAAAGAAAGAAAGAAAGAAAGAAAGAAAGAAAGAAAGAAAGAAAGAAAGAAAGAAAGAAAGAAAGAAAGAAAGAAAGAAAGAAAGAAAGAAAGAAAGGTCTGGCTAAAGATCCTCCACAGTAAAAGGTCACTGTCACAACCAAACGTGGACAAAATATTCAAGAGCCCCTTCTCTCAAAGCGACAGGGCCTCCTAGCCTAAGAGAACGTGCTCACTCTCCACAGACGCCAAGTCTGGGGTTCCTGTTGTTTCTACACTGCGTAACCACTCTCTGCTTGCCTTTAACTCCTTTATATTTCCCCCTTTCCAGAAATTCTCTCATATTTGAAGTCCAGATGAAGGACTGAGAGTCCTAAAGCCCTCGCTTCCTGTTCCTGGATACAGAGACCCTCATCAACACAGCACAGGCAGTGGACAGTCAGAAAACCCGTTCTTATATTTAACTTGCTGGTTCTTCTAACTGAGGGGAAAAGACGAACTGTGGATAACTTTCTTCAAATTCTTTTACTCGTTTTACAAGTTATTTTGGGATTTGCTTGGGACATAGTTCTGGCTTCCACACAGGTCATGGGACTCTTTGCAAACTCGGCCAAGGAAGCAGCTTTCCCTTGGACTGTCCCCCTCTCTGTTTCAGTCCCGGCCTCTCCAGAACCCTACCTCCCCAGCTGACACACCACCCCCCTTCCAGCTCTCCGGGCCTTCCACCCGGTAGGGTAGGAGCCTCCTCCCGCTGGCCTGTGCAAGCAGCCGACCCCGCCATATTCCCTCTGAATAAGTCATTCTAAGAGGTCCCTGAAAAGAAAGCAAGCAGAATAACATTGCTAATTTTTCCACTCGGCCCTCCACAAAGCATCCACGAAGTCCATTAAGAAAGCAAAGGCGGCATGGGGCACAGGGAGCCCGAGCCTAAGTCTTGAGTAGACAGAGGTCTTTCAAAAGGATGTCAAGCAAAGGTCCCAAATGAACAAAAGCAGTGCATAAGCAGACCTTTCATCCAAGTTGCCTCCCTGGGAGAACTTGAACTTCCTGCCCAGTAAGAGAGCTAGCTACCCAGTAGGAAGAAAGCAAAAGAAAATATTATGAACTTAAACTCAGGGGAGAGAATTCTTCTGCAGGCAGTGAAAACCAGCTCCAAAGGGCATCAGTAGGGAAGGAAACTCCCTCTCAATTACATCAGCCCGTTAAGAACGGAACACTAGCTTTTAAGTCAATAACAACTGAACATTCTGAGTCCTTTTAATGCACTGAGCATGTGCCAATCACCTTATAGGCAGCCTAGCAATTAGTAATTATAACATGCATGTTCAGTCCCTAAATCTGGGTCCATCCACTGCCTCATATATGTTAAGGACACACTCAACCATAGAACTATATTCCTAGCTGAAGTCATTATAATGTTTCTAGCTTCTTATTATATTGCTCTCCATTTCATATGGAAGAATAGAGAAAGGCACTCAAAGCACACAGGTGCTAATTAAGAGAAAAATCAGAATTCACAGCCAAGTCCAAGTGAAAACAAACCCCGAGCTTTCTGGTGTACTGTACCCTATCACATCACGTGAGAAGAAAGAGGCCTGGTTCCAGAGCAAAAGGATGAGAAACGTGTTATTTTCACCTAAAATATTTAAGAACTATGGAAAAGGGCATTGACGCGGTGGAATTGTAGGAGGATTATAAACTGGAGGGTATACCTTGCAATGAAAAGTCACAGATGGTTATCAACATGGAGTTTCCACATGAACAGAGACAACCTCTATAAACAAGTGGACCATGGTCCACTCAGCAAGGAGGCAAACTGTGGGGGCTTAGACCTGTTCCTGCTTTGGCTGGACAGGGAAGTGAATATGAGTTGCCTCTGACCACCCTGAATGTGATTCTAGCCCATTTCCCTGGCTTCTTCAGCCCTTGAAATTGGCTCCTTCTTTGTATCCACGAGATGGGAAGGAGCAACCATCTTGTGGGCTGCACTTTGAGGAGGGTTTATGTACGCCCAGCAGAGACTGGGGATAGAAAAGGGACTCACAAGGAGAATCTTGGGGGAAAGCAAACATCAGACTTCCTCCCTTTTCCTGGAGGGCCACAGCTTTGGAATTAAGGAAAAAAGATACAGGGAAAACGAGGAGAGGTGCCAGAGGCCACTCCTTATTACTCCATACTCACAAACTGAATTCACGAGGGACACTAGTTCTAGAATTTCATCCATTACACTAATGTGTATTGATTGCCTACACTCTACCAAGATCTATGCCAAAGGCTTGTCAGAGGCAAAGGACCGAAACCCAGACAAGCAGGGAAGACACACTGCATGGGTATGACTAGCATCATGAGAGAGAAAGGCCAGGTGCTGGGGGAGTTTGCTCAGTAGCTAAGGATGAAAGCTAGCAGGGGAGAGTAGAGGCCCTAGATGACGGCCTCCACTGGCAGGCCAGCAGACCTGAGGCCATCTACTACCCCTTTATGCCATCTCACTAAGGATTCATTTTCATTACTTTTTCATGATGAGTATGTATAGTGAGGGTGGTATGTGCAAGTGAGTGCAGGTGCCCAAAGAAGCCAGAGGAGTTGGATCCCCCTGGAGCTAGGGTTACAGGCCATTGTAAGCTGGGAACCAAACCCCAGTCCTCTGAAAGAACAGTATGTGCTCTCAACCACTGAACCATCTCTCCGCCCCTACCCTACACTCTTGTTTTTCATTGAAAAAGTTTTTTTCATGCAGCACATTTTGATCATGTTTTCCCTCACCCCCAATTTCTCTCAGATCTTCCCCACCTCTCTACACACCCGACTTTATGTTCTTTTTTCTCTCTCCCTCTCTTAAAACAAAACCAATAAACCAACAAAAAACAGTCAACAATAAAAATAATAAACACCACACACACACAAACAAACCCCACAAAACCACAAAAATGAAAATCAAAACAAACAAGCAGAAGATTGATAAGACAAAAAAAAATGCTCAAACAAAGAAAAATGAGACAAAAAGTTTACAAAAAATACCACTGGATTTGCTTTCTGTTGATCAAGTAGGACATGTGGCCTGCCCTGAGGTGTGGCTGGATATACCCAGTAAGACTCCACTGGATAAAACTAATCTTTCCTTGGTAATAACTGGGAAATCTTCTTGGCTAGGGGTGAGAGCCCATGTCCACCTTCCCCTCTGAGCTCTGGAACCCTGACTGGCTTGAGTTTGTGCCGGCCTTGTGTGCTTCCACAGTCTCTGTGAGTTCAGATGGGCATCAGTCCTGTTGTGTCTGGAAGATGCTGTTCCCTTGGTGTTAGCATCCCTTCTGGCTCCTCTTCCACAGGGTTCCCTGAGTCTTGAGAAGAGGGCTTAGAAGATGACATCCCATTTAAGACCGAGTGCTCCAAAGTCTCCCACTCTCTGGACATGAGCAGCTGTGGCTCTTTGTGTTAATTCCCACCATCCCACACTCTTAAAGAATGCCTGTATACTGTTTTCTTCTTGTTTTTTGAGGCAGGCTAGTCTCAGACTTTCTGTGAAGCTGAGAATGAACTTCAGCCTTTCAAGTGCTGGGATTACAGGCATGTGCCACCACACTTGGCTAGGCATGAGATAGTTTTGTGGTTTTCTAATCGTTTTCATTTAACATTTTGTTTGGGAATGTTTATATGGATATGGTGAGCAAATTTTAGATGCTCTGGATGTGATTAGTTTGGATATCATTCATTTATTAGAAAAGAGAGATGTGGAAATTGTTCACACAACAAAAGATTTCAGAGCGTCCTTGGAGTGGGCAGCTTCCTGTGCCGCCATTTTTAGTTCAGTCTAACTACAGTCTATGAATGTCACCGTCTCTAAGTAAGGAATGGTCTTTGCCATTTACAATTCCTTTGGTGCCCTCCATCGCCAGGAGACTTTCTTTCCAGCAGCTGCCTGGTCCTCCAATCCTTTGCCTTCGAGACCAATCCAACACCCACCACCGCTGCATGTGAGACTTGTTCTGGAGAGTTCTCTGGAGTGTAACGCTTCTTTGGGTTACAGTCTTGGCTGCTAGCCTTTCAGCTTGGTCAGAGAGAAGAAAGAACTTTCTAAAGTCTGGCCTGCCACAACTCCAGGTACCTCGGTTCAAACTGTCACTTGCAAACTGTTTGAAAGCAGCAGAATCCTACTGTAAACAAAGCCTGGCCTGACATTACGATGAACAGATCAGCAACAAGGGAGATGACTTTGGTTGTTGTTGGTAGAAAGTGGGGGGGAGAGGCGGGGGAGGCGGATGGGGGTTGTCCCTCTGTGAGGGTGGTCTTCGGCCAGCCCCTGCCCTGTCCTCACATTCTGCCTGAGATTCCTGGAAGTTCGTGTTTCCACAAAAGGACAATCTTAAAATCACTCAGCAGGGCTGGGGCTACAGCTCAGTGAGAATGTTTGTCTCACGTGACTGAGACCCCGAGGTTCAATCCACAGTACTGTAAAACTAAAGCTACCAACCTACTGATGTCACTCCCTGCATTTACAGACAGGAAAGTGAGATGCAAAGAAGTAAGAGAAAGCTGCTCACCTCCACCAGCCCCAGAACTCCTGACATGGATGCTTACAAAACACGGACGAGGTGAGACATCCATGTGCCTAACTGCTAGGAAATAATCAGACATAGCGAAGAGAACACAGAGAAGGAAAGATTCCAGAGCTCAAGTGTCAGTTCTGTGGTTTATCAACAGGTGTCCTTAGACCCGTGGCTCAGCCTCATGAAGTCTCGGTAACCTCCTCCAAGATGGAAAAGGCAATACAAGCTTCCTGGGGTTCCGTGAAGAGGGAGTGTGCTCAGACTGATAGTTACTGCTTATTGAAGGGAAGTACTTAGCCTAAAGGCTGGCAGTGATCGGTTCCCCTCCCTCTTCCACCAGCAATCTGTTGGCTTCTCACCCCTCTGTGAGTAAGTGGCCCCTTACCTTTAGGCTCCTCCGGCAGCACGCGCAGTTCCACTAACTTTTTAAACACCATGCTCTCGCTTTTGCGGCGGATTTCACAAGTGTAGGTCCCCTGGTCATCCTCTTGCACATTTTGGAGCAGGAGAGAACCATCATTTCGTAAGATGTCCCCCACCAGATGGGAACGGTTCTGGAAGCGTCCCGTAGGCACGCTAAGGTTGGAGTAATAGTATAGCACGTATTCATTCTGAGAATAATAAACGTTGGAGAAAATCAAGAGAGGAGCCAGGCCTGAGAGTCTGGATTGAAAAGACCATTACGTGGAAACAGTGAAGTTATCATCATAATGATGACCAAAAAGTACTCAGCTAATAATATTAATAATGATAATGTACCAAGCAACTGCCTAGCTTGTACAAGACTCCATGACCAACTTCCTATACAGACAAATGAAACATAGTATCTATATTTTCATTTCTTACAACATAAGGAAAAATACAACACCTCCCATAATCACTCTGGGGATTAGAACTCATAACTTTTTAAAAACCACTTCCTGTCTTATGACAGGGTCGGCGAGATGCCATTCAAATGTATGACCTAATCCCTTGGTATTGTGGGCTGGTGTTCCCAGCAGGGCAGGCAGGCTGCCACTCCTCTCAACTCCGCCCTCCTCCAGCCAGCAGTATCATAAGGAGTCCTCAGCAGGAATGGTGGCAGGCTGGGAGGGGGAGCCCTGGGGAATTCTCAACTCCACTTCCACCACAGCGCTGCTGCTTTTAGAATAGCAAATAGAAGTGCAATTTTGAGTGAAAGTATATAGCATTGGAGGGATAGCAGAGAATGCGCTCTGAGCTACAAAAGCAGCCATTGATTTGCAAACATAAGCATTTCTTTGCTAGCAGCAAACTACTTGGGCCATGTTTCACAGATGATCCGGACACCCACACATCTCCGTGGACTTTGTGATAGAAGCTGAAGACAGTTTCCCAGTCAGAGCTCAGGAGAGCAAGCCCCCTGCCTGGCTGCTAATCCCGACACTTCAAGCAAATGCAAAGAAGCAACGTATGGTCCCCCAGAGTAGAATGCTCAAAGAATTGTCCCAATACAGAAAGACACCTGTACCATTCTTTTGCCTAGCTCATCTGTCTAGACTACAGGAAATGCCTCTCACGTCCATCTTTACTACCCCGTAGGGCAGAAGACAGTAGAAGCTAACTGAGAGAACTCCATGTCGCCCATCAGCCCTCAGCCAGTTAAGCACTGGTACCATTACGGTCATGTTTCCTCTCCACCATGAAGCAAGGTTGGATAATCTGCCCTGCTGATGACACACAGCCAAATAGCTAAGCTAAGAGAAGACCCAGTGATGACTCCTTCCGAAGCTCTTGCAATACTACCTTGAAGACTCAATGACTGATTCTCCCACACCCAGGCCGTCCTGACACCATTAGCCAGAGGCTTGACTACACAGTCAGGCCACCTCCTTACCTCAGCATATTTCCCGTTTGAGAGTATCCAGTCTACTTTGACCACATGTTTCTCTTCTGTGCTCTGGACAACACATCCCATGAAAGCTGAATCACCCACATGCACGGTCAGCTCAGGGGAGACAGTCATGTCAGCCAGGCCCCAAGGATCACCTACAGGGGTTGAAGGATAGAAGACGTTACTTAGACAAGTAACTTCAACAAGAAAACTCAGCATCAATCTCTAGAGACCATGCATTTCCCCTCCATCCACGATCCAGCATGATCTAAGCACTTAGAGGCCCCTCACTCAAACCAGCATGGCAAAGGAGAGCAATCCTCTGCTTTTCTACATGATTCAAGTCTGAAGGATTCTGCAACCTTCAAACCGCAAGAAGAGTTAGCTAGCTGGTTCCCTTGGCCTCGCTGGTCCCTTCCTCTTTTCTAGAATTCCTCTGCCTTACCTTTCTAATGAAAGGAAATCCTGAAATCCACATCCACTCACTCACTTCTCTTAGCTCTGCGTACAGTGTTCTTAACAGTGAACTAAACAGGAAGTGGGCTCATCCTCGCTGCCCGTGAGCTTGCGGGTTCCCTGTCTGAATGATCTGAATGATCAGTTGCTTTCTTCCTCTTTTCCCTTTATTTAATCCCTCACAAAAAGTTTATCGCTGCATTTGCTGGCTGAGTCTCTCCAGTTAAGTAGGCCAGAGCGGAGCACAGCTTTCTCTTCAATTCCCTTTGTGTCTGCCCTCTCCCAGCCTCACCCTCCCGAGTCCCCATCAACTCTGGCTTTTAGGAGGCCTCTGCAGGCATAGGTTCCCCCCACTCCCTCATCGGCCTGTCACTCACAGGATTTCACTAAAAGAGAAAACTATGGCAAGGACATTTCTGTTTCCACAAGATATCCTCTGGCACAAAGACAACAAAATCAAGAGACAAATTTAGATGCTGCCCAGTTCATATCGAAGAAGAGCCAAGTGAACACATATGGGAGTGAGCAGGAAAGGTGCCAGCCTTTTCATCCAAGCTGTCTCCTGAGAGAAGAGAGAACTTCCTGCCCAGCAGCAGGCTCACACAGTAGGGAGCATGGAAAAGAACACAGGAACTCTCAACCCTTTGGACAGAGGTATTTTGAAAGAAACCATACTAGCTCCAGCAACTATTGGAATTTTCCTGTGAGAAAGAATTGAGTATACATATGCGTGCGTGCGTGCGTGTGTGCGTATTCTATGTCACCTAGAATTGAGCAAAGGCAGCACTTTTGTTTATTTTGTTGAGTAATGGTTCACTGTCCTCAGCTCAAAAAAAAATAAAGAGAGCCAGTGAGATGCCACCAAGCCTGATGACCTCAGTTCAATCCCCAGACCACATGGTGCAAGAACCAATTCCTGCAAGTTGTTCTCTGACCTCCATACTCGTACCCCACTTGAAAAGTACACTAATGAATAATAATAAAGAGTTGGGTGTGATAATGCATGTTTGTGATCCTAACACCCAGGAGGCAGAGAAAAGGAGATACAGTGTTCAAGGCCACCATGGGCTACATAGTGTCAAGTCCCAGAGAAACCATGGACAAATGGCCAGCTGTGGTGCCTATTTAACATAGCAAAGCGCACACTGACCGCCAGGTCCTCTCAGCATTGCAAGTGCCTGTTACAGAGTCCGGCTCCTCTCAGCACTTCTCACACACACACCCCTCCCCGCCCTAAACCTCTCCAGGCCCTGAGCTCTCTTCCCTCAGCTTCTGATTCCTATAGAACCCTGGCATTTTGGCCACATGCTAGAACCTGGGCATTTTAACCACATGCTAGAACCTGGGCATTTTGGGTACACGCTTTAGAACCCAGGCATTTTTGGCCACACGCGGTCTTTGTCCTCTTTGTCCCCTTGGCCTCTCGATTCATCTCGCTCTTGGTTCCTCTCTTGGTCCTCTGCTCTTGGCTCCTGGCCCCCTCTCTTGCCTCTCTCTCTCTCTCTCTCTCTTCGTTTCCTCTCTCACTCTCTCTCCCCTCATGGCCTGGTCTCCCCTGCCAGCCACGTTCAGTCTGGACTCTTCCAGATGCCTCCGGCTGCACTCTCCCTCGTATCTACAATAAAAACTTCTCTTCGACCAGACCTAGGAGCAGTCATAGCCCCATTTTCATTCACATAGAAAGACCCTGACTACAAATTAAATTAGTAAATAAGAGAGCAAAGCATTAAATTAATTTCTTCTTTCCACAGGTCTGTTTCCACGGAATAAGGAACAGGATAGAGGCAGAAAAGAGAAAGAGAAAGGAAGGAAGTGGAGAGGAGCAGCAGGAAGCTGCCCTGGACACCCGGGCAAGGTCTGAACAGGAGATTCCCACCCAGTCTACTGAGGCCAAAGCAGGCTTCCCAGAAGGAAGTAAAACCCGGGGGAAGCTTGTGGAATCCGGAAGGCTTGAGCAAGCTTTTTGGGGTGAGGTGCTGGGGGGAGGGGTAAAAATGGGAGGAACCCAGAGTTCCAGGCAGAGAAAAAACTTCAATTAGGAAAGAGTTCCCTGTGTTTAGAAACCACAAAAGTATCTGCCTGACTGAGGCATAAAAGGTTCCTCCATTTCCCTTCCTATCTGAGACTAGCTGTAATTGACCAACCCCAGTGTCAAGCATAGGGATGCCAAGAGAAACTTCCCTCCACACAATTATGTTCTAGAACACCCAGGAAGGACCCAAAGACATTCTGTGCCCAGTAGAAACAGAAGGCAGCAAGAAGAACCAACTACCTGCTCCTGAAACAACCAGAACCGAGAAGTTCCAGCCCAGCGTTTCCATATCTCACAAACCAAAGGGAATGAAACATACATAAAAATGGACTTTTAAAAACACGAGACCAGGGCTAGCAAAACGGCTCAGTGGGTAAAGGCACTTGCCACCAAGGCCGAAGACCTGAGTTCAAGTCTAGGAAACCACATGGAGGAAAGAACGGGCCACCTTCTGCAATTTGTCTCTGACATACCCATGCCCTGTTCCCCCACAACACAAAATAAATAATGTCCAAATAATTGTGGGTACAAGCCTTCAGATACCGGCCTCAGTCTCTCGTTTCCACTTACCCAGAATCACTGGAATCACAATCAGTTTCAGGAGGCAAAGCATACTGCTTTCAAGTTTTTGATCTTAAGATAAAAGGAAAACCAGAAAATTATGAACAGAGAACATTGTTAGCGGAACAAACCAACAGTGAGCCCCAGTGTGGGCCAGCGCCAGTGTGGACCAGCGCCACTGTGGGCCACGTTCTGTCTGAGGCACCGGCACAGCACTGAACATGGGAGGCAGAGCTCTGGCGCAGCCACACTTGACATATGAGGAACAGCGGGCAGAAGGAAGCGAAGGAAACGCAGGAGTTTGTATGAACAAGACAGCATCAGGATGCTGAGAGGGGATAAGGTGAAACAAAACCAAGTGATGTTTGGAGAGACCCTTGGGGTCTGCTTCATGCCGGCCAGAAGGGAAGGTCAGATGAAAGTCACTTTTCCAAACAAAAAGGGCCAATGAGTCCTTGCGGAGCCCTTGAGACAACTACCCTAGATATTCTACAACCTGGACGCTTCACATAAACCAAACACTACAGGGATCCGCAGCCTCAACTTTTTACCTGTCCCTCCAGCTCAATGGGAATGGCTGCCTTGATGAAGGCAAAGGACGTTCAGTCCATGTGGGAGAAGAAATATACAAAGAACGGAAACTGATTGATCAGTGATTTGCATTTGGACATTACACATGCCCAGCAATCGCTCCGCTAACAGAGTCATAGCCTCAGTTCACAAAGGGGAAATGTTAAGCCTAAAGGTTAACATTTAACATAATAAAGGTTAACATAATAAATGTTAATACTAAAGGTATTAGTTATCAAATTTAACATACAAAGACACCACAGGAAATACTTTTTTTTTCAACCTTTAAAGGCAGGACAGTGTGGTTAGAATTAAGAATTGAGCTGAACATGTAAAACCATTTCTAGTGTCTTTGTTCAATGTCTGTGCTATTAATTTCCCAACACCCTCCAGCTCTTGGAAAATGACTCACTATTCTATACCAAATCCCCCCCAAATGTTCTTAACCAAAGTGAAGAACCCTAACACTAAGAACTTACAACTCAGTCCATCATGGGGAGCAGACCATCTCCCATTACTATAACCATTTCAGCTGTGACCCCCAACACCTGATGGCTCGGCAACTAGAACCATTCTACCTCAGAACCGCTAAGAAATGTCCCTTATTGCATTAATAGCAAGGGCTCAGGCTAGCTCGCTGGGATATCTGGCACTGGCCATTTCCTTTCTAAAATGCAGTTGCCTGGAACTGGAGATATGGCGCAGCAGCTGAGGAGCATGTACTGTTCTTGCAGAGGATGAGTTTGCTTCTCAATCCCACTTCTAGTGGCTCACGGCTGCCTGTAACTCTAGCTCCAGGGACATCTGGTGCCTTTGACCTCCAAGAGTACCTGCACTCATGTGCATATTCCCACCCACAAACATACACACATATACAGAATTCTAAAGATAAAATTAGAAATACATATTTTTAGGTGGCTGCCCAAAAAGATGCCTTACCTGTATTCCAGTCAACAAAATCCACTTGGAAAATGGAAACTACTCAAGGAGGTTCCTTCCCTGGGTCTTCCTCGACTCACTATACCTTAGCTATACCTACAACACAGGATGACAAAGCAAGAATCAGATATGATCAAATAGATAACAGTGTTTTCAAAAAGAGGAAACATTGCTAGACAGGATCCCATTTTCTAGAACCTAAGAGCCAGACAGAGAGCAACCTGTGACTTTAGAGACGTCAGGCTCTGAGTTTCTGCCTTTATAGGAACAGTAAGCTATCAATCAAAATGAACTAGAAGCTTTGACTACCACTGTTACTATGTAGACAATAATTACACTGTTCCATCTGAATCAGGAGTCGAACAGAAAATACAGATCTGCTCTATGCCGACCACCTCCCCCAACACAAACACAGTTGGTGGCCGTAACAGGCTTCTCTTAGAGCATGACTTTAGCTCATCACATTCAGACATCCAAGATCCATGTCACCTTCTCAAGGAGCTACTGAGTTTGTTTCTCTGCTCAGCGAAGAGTTCTCAGCTCTCACAGGATTCCCCGAAGAGAGAACAGCAGACAGAGGAGTAATGGCTAATTTGCATGTCTGTCGCCAATGCCTATCGAAGTCTGCAGTCCCAAGGACAAGACCACGTACGTCTTGCTTGTATTTGTGCTCCACCAATCCTTGTTCTACAGGATCTATAGATTGCTGGGAGCGTGCCAGATAAATGCTTGTCACCAACAATGTGACCATTACCTTGAAATCAGCTTCGAGGCTTCCTGCAACCCCTTGACACTATTCTGTGAGGAAACGAGCAACTTGAAAAGGACTGACTGACTCGCACAGAGCCACACCCAGCCTCCCTCAAACCAATTCTAGGAAATGTATACTGTGATGGATAAAAAAAAAAATACCCACTTTCAGTCTTAAATACTCAAATACACTGATGGAGTTCTGTGTGAACTGGAGAGAAAAAAAAACAATATTTTTAGCAGAAAGAGCATTGAATTTTTTTTTTAAGTTATTTTCCAGGCTCAACGTCTGGAACTCAGCTTTAACACTATAGCCTCAGACTTTTTTTTTCTTTTTTCTAGTTGATAGGCAACTACACCAAAAATTAAGAATTGATATGCAATAAACAGAAAAAGCAGTAATGCCAGGGATTGTCTGGGCCATTTACATTCTAACTCACTCAATCTTCACCACAACCATGAGACTCTTTGCAGATGGGGAAACTGAGGCACAGGCCAGTGGTATGTTTTGCCTAAGAACACATAGCAGATTGGCACAGTCTGACAGGCATTCTGGATCTTTCAGCCCCAGCCTGTATCATCACGTTGAGGTGTTTCTCCACATCTGTCAAAGTAGCTGATGTTTTAGTGTGTTTACTCCCTGAGTTTTATCTGAAGAAACAATATTAATCCCCCTACACACACACACACACACACACACACACACACACACACACTGGTTGTTCTTCCAAACTTCATTGCACATACTTTCGCATACATGGCACATGCCCTTTACTCCTGTTGATCCATTTTTCAGATGGCAAGTTAAATGTCATTTCCTCAGGGAAACCGCTCCTCAACCACCCATCCTAGGCCAGACCACCCAGCTGCCCCTTCATGGTGCTCTGTATCTTTCTTTCAGGGCATTTGTCACAAGCGGTCATCATCTATTTGCTATGGTGCTCATCTAATTAAATCCTTGTTCCTGGTCTCACTCCCCAAGACTCTCAGATCCAAGAGGCTGAGAGGGCACCCATGAATTTCTCTACAGCTCCAGCACCGGCATGGTGTAGGGCGCAGGAAATCCTCAGTTTACAGCTTCTCAAACAAGCTAATGACACCTTGGGAACTTACCAAAAATCCTCTGGTTAAGTTTCAATTTCCTGAGTAGGTGGCAAACATTCAGAAATTCTTTTTTATACACACACATCATCATCATCATCATCACCACCACCACCACCACCACACATCACTTAGTGAGGGGGAATTATCATCAGGAAATTCCATTGTCTGAGCATCCCAGAGTGCACTTACACAAACTGAGATGGCTATAATGCCTCTAGGCTGTATGATCTTATAAGACCACTGTCTATGCATTATCAACTAAAATGTTATTTAGTACATGACACATACTTATCTATACATACACATATATTTTGAAACATATACGATAACCCCAATTCTGAATTCTAAACACACAGATCTTGATTTTTAAAATCCCAGCCAGCTGGCACATTCAGAAGCATCTTGCCAATGGGTCTTGTTTTTAAACTCTCCTCTCTACCCTGTTCCCTTCCACACACTGGCATAGCTCAGCTGTAGGTTGCAGGTTAATACCACACAGCCAGTTATTTCATGTGCTGGCCGAGCTTTCTTACCCGAGCTCATGGCTTCCTCACGATAACTCCTGGCAAATATCTCCTATGAGTCCTAGGGTGTGTGTGACCACCAGGGTTACAATATTTATTCATATATTATTACAATATTGCAAGGCAGTGGAAGAACAGGGTCTTGCTGTCTCCTGGCCAGTTCGCCCCCGGCGCGGCCCCCCCCCCCCCCCCGGTAATAACAAAGACCGCAGAAACACAGACAGCTGGACAGCCTTCCCGCTCTGCCTCACTCCACTGTGAGGCTAAGTTCTGCTCCTGTGCACCTTTGTACTCTCAGAAATGTGTACATATCCAAGTCCTCATGACCACTCGGCGACACAAACCTCTTAAAATATGCCCTTGCTTTTCCTTCTGAGACCATGAAATACAAATGGGGGCAGGGGATTGTGCTTCTGAAGCACAACCTAGATTACATGCTACTCAGATGGGACCTTGGGAACCATCTCCTGATCCCTCCAGACGAGCAGGTAGCTAGTTCTAATTCAGCTTACGTCTGTCTTTCTGGAGGTCTGGGCTAAGCCAGGGTAGTCCAGCTCTCTTGGGAGACTTGGACTTGTTACCTCGGTGACATGTTGATTTATCCAGAACAGAGAGAAGACAAACGGAGGGAGGAGGGCTGCCATGAGCTCCAGGACGGCCAGTCGTAACTCTGCCTAAAGCCATAGGCAGCAGGAGAGCCCATGGATGAAGCCCATGGATGACCTTAGTCACGCTTATTACGGCAAAGCTGACTTCTCTTTTCTCTGAGAACCTTGACGTAAAGTACACTACTAAAACTAAAGTTGCACCTACTTGTCTACCTCATGGCAGCCCCCGCTGTGGAGAACGGGAGCTCTGTGCATGGCCTCCTCAGCCTACAGCAGCTGGACCAGCTTTCCTCTGAATGAAAACTAGCCACCTTCTCAGAACAGTTCAATGGCTCACAGCACACCAAAGTCACTGCTTACCCAAGATGACAGCGCCCAGGAAAAAGCAACGCTTCACGATCTCGCGCCACAGCATCCCCCACACCAACTGAGAGACGTCTGCCAGCCGAGTAAGGCGAGCTCAAAGCAATCAGATGTCTGCGTGCCTTCTGAGGTGGCTACAGAAACACAAACAGGAACCTTCAGATCAAGCTTCTCCTTTCAGTCACCGGTCTCACTACCCAATCTGCATTTACGTTTTCATTATTTTTTAATTAATTTTGGTCAATTTCACGAATGTTAGCCAATGTATTGGGATGGCCATATTCACCCCATTATCTTCTCTTATTCCCCATCTTATCCCTGCGGATCCCCCTTCTCTTCCCAACTAGTCCTATTCTTGCGTGTGTGTGTGTGTGTGTGTGTGTGTGTGTGTGTGTGTGTGTGTGTGTGTGTGTGTGTCTGCATGTACATGCGAGTGTGTGTATGCATACAGGTCTTATGCAGGTAGCCACAGCTTTCATGTGCACATGATTACAATGGCCATGTCATATCCAGAAGCATAGTACTCCATTATCTTCTGGCTTTTACATCTTTTTCTGCCTCCTCTTCTGTGATGTTCCCTGAGCCTTAGAGGAGGTGGTACACATGTCCCTTTAGGGGCATTTGTATTTTTATTCTAAAATGAAGGACTGTATGCAGCTTAATAAGTTGAGCCTCATACCCTGGGTCCCTGCAGGTTTTACTTCCCCTTCTGGATTACAGACTCTGCAAGCAAGATCTCAAATGGGCCAGGTGGAGAGGTGTAGATCTGAAATCTAAGCACCCGGAAGGCTCAGGCAGGAGAGGACAGCCTGGGATGGACAGTGAGCCCCTGTCAAAATGAAACAAAACAACAACAAAAATCTTGAAAAGTATGAGGCATTTGCTGAGTAATCAGCTTTATGTAAACAAAGCACAATTAATTTAAGATGAGTAAAAAACATTTGGCTGTGTTTCAGATACAGCGGCTTTTCTTCTTCTTCTTCTTCTTCTTCTTCTTCTTCTTCTTCTTCTTCTTCTTCTTCTTCTTCTTCTTCTTCTTCTCCTTCTTCTTCTCCGTCTCCGTCTCCTCCTTCTTTCTCTTCCTCTTCTCCTCCTCCTCCTTCTTCCTCTTCCTCTTCTTCTCTTATCACAGAGATGTAGCCAGGCTAACCAATCATCCTTTAGCTGCTCCCAAAGATTCACCTGCCGGGTGCTCCAGCTCACCATGTTGCTGTGTAGGTTTCCTCTGACTGTGAGGGTTGCCAGCACACGGGGAGCAAGTTATTCTCCTAGCAAACACTTAGAGCAGCTTTGGCATCCTGGGGAACAACTTGGGGTTTCCTGACTGCAAGGTACCTTTCCATTTTAAGTCACCACTTCAAAGTTAGTGTTCTCACGCACACACATTCACCCTTAGCTCTACTGAATTGACCCAAGCCTGGGTATGCTCATCTTTTGGAATTTGTCCTGTCCTGAAAACTATTGACTGTTTTCTCACCTCAAGGACCATGCTGCACGGGCTGCATGTAAATATTTCCACTACAGTCTATTTCATGCCAACAGTTTGCCACTTGGCTCACAAAATTTCTAGAAATGCAACCCTCAGCTCCTGCTGTGTGAGCTGGTTCCATCGGGCCGCTGGATCTAGTCAGTCTTGCCGGCATACAGCTCAGACAGCTTTCTCAATGCTGAAAACCACAAGCCCCTCTTCCCCACAACACTTCTCATTTTAATGCAGACAAACATGAGAAGGGTAGCCACAGGTGCAAAGAAGTTTATTAACTACAGTGGAGTAAGGAGTCCACGAGTCACGATGTCTATGTGCACGTAGCATACATACATACTTACAGCTCATACCCTCCGACGAACAAAAAGTTAAAGTTTAAAAGTCAATGAGATACAGCAGTGAAGAGTTCAACACCGGAGTGGACTCTTCTGGCAGGAAAGTTTTGAACTGTGCAATTACACAAGAGTCTTGGTCCACTCTATGGATCTTCTGAGAGTCTCTCTTCAGAATGGGAACTCCGTGATACAATAGAACATTCTGGCTCAGGATTTGGCCTCCAGGTTTCACCCCCTACCCCATCCCACCCCACCCCACCCCCCACACAAACACATACACATGGGGGGTGCAACTTTCCATTCCCAAGCACCATTGCCTGACTCAGGAGCTGCAGACAGTTAAGATGTCCCCAAGTAGCCTGAAGTGACAGGTCACAGAGGAAAAATAAAGCACTTTATAAATTCACATTTTGTAACAGTTTTAAGAGCCCAATGCATAAAACTCAGGTGACAGAACCACAATGAAAGACTTACATCTCTTTCCAGACAATGCTATAATGCCACGTGGTTTGAGGCCACAGAGCGGCAAAAGGGGAGAAAAAAAGTATGAGAATGGCACCTTAGATGATATTAAAACAGTAAGTCAAACAAACAAACGCCTTTATCTTACATTCATTCTTAAAGAAGGCAGGGTTCGGCAGACTGCCTTATCGTCCCTAGGATCAAAAAGCTATCAAAAGTTAGCAGCGCAAACCTCGGCAAAAGGGTGAAGAGGGACTAAGAGGGCAGCCTGAGCCTGGGATGCGACCACCAACCCACAGAGCAAATAAAATACTGCCTCACTCCCTTACAATGAAGGACTTCCATGGCCTGTCCTTTAAAAGAGAAAGGACCTCTTCAAAACAGGGTACACAACAGTGTGTGTGTGTGTGTGTGTGTGTGTGTGTGTGTGTGTGTGTGTGTGTGTGTCCATCAGGCATCAGTCACCTAACTCATCAATGTCTGAGCTAGTCAAAGCCTCACAACACACTTGCAAGAAAATCCTAAGACACCAAAACTGGTCCCTCGTTTTCACGGGGTGACGGTTTAAATGGGTTCTTGTAACCCCTCTGTCAGAGGCCCACAGCATGCCCCCTCATAACTGGATCGCTCTCTTCAGATCTGCAAGAGCCCAGTTATTTGTGCCTGGTACCAGAATGCTTTCTGCTCTGTTGATCTGTCAGAAAGGGTCTCACTGGAGTGGCCACAGACAGACCCCAAAGAACCATGGGGTCTAGCCACCAGAGATGTAAAAGGCCAGTTCTTCCTCTTCCACGGGCTTCCATGAGCAGAGCTAAATCACAGTGCTTATCAGCTCATCAGATTCATGAATCAGCAGGCTAGATTAACAAATCTTTAAAGCAGAGTTAATGATCCCAGTCTCAAAAACAAGATCTAGGTGGTAAGTAGAATGGCTTTTATAAGATACATAACATATAACACTAATATGGAGCCCTCCCGAGCCACTTTAGGAAGAACCATGAAGAAGATCACCGTGTTGAAACGACCAGGGCTGGGGGAGGGGTCATTTGCGACTCTCACAATCGAAGTGAGGCCTATAACTCCATAGAGAGGGCTGTTTGCACACACGCTCTCAGGCCTTCCTGACACGTCAGGTACGTCTTAATGGTTTATAAAAAACCTATTATAAATTAAAATTTTACACGAGCTGCTCCAGGAGAGTAGAGGTGTGGGTTGCAAGAGAAGGGAGATGTCCTGTGCAACCTCACTTCCTCATCTCCGGGGCTGAGAAAAGCAGCTTGCAGACAGAACTGCATGCCCACCTCTGGTGCAGCTTAGAACTAGCAAAGGTTCTGAACAACAACACAAGAAAAGTGACGAGACTTACAGCAAAGGACTACAAAACGTCTTTCAGAAGTCGCCCCTAGAAACCTTCTTCTTCTTAAGAGGCATTTCTGGCCTCTGACTTGAAAAACCAAGGAGGAAACCACAAATTAGTCAGCTGTAGGAACGCAAAAGAGCAGACTCTTTGGCCCAAAGTGTACCTAGCAAGAAAAATGAGGAAGACTCTTCTACCTCAAAACTTGTTTCCTTAACTGTGACTGGACAGTAACGCTTTAATACTTAAAAGACCCCGTCAAAGCAAGCCTACAACTTGTGAGCCTACTGAGTCTAAAGAAATTGGGGCCAAATACTCCAAGTCACCCAAACACAACTGACGACGACGACCATTAAACCACGTAGGGCACACTGAGTTCTCCCAACAGAAAACATGCGTGAAGAAGCAACGGTTACCCATCCCAAACAGGTGTGTTGTTCATTGGCACATCATCAGGAAGCTACAAGCTCCACATCATTAAAAGTACAATTTTGGCATCAGCAGAGAGACAGGCATTTAGTGTTCCCCTTCAGGCAACTGGAAGAAAACACGAGCTACATTCAAGAGCGAAGGGAAACCAAGGGGTGTGTTTCTGTTCAAGATGAGAACTTCTTTGTTCAATCAGAGTGTGTTAAGAAGGGAAGGCATGAGTCCCTTCTGGAAGTTTCTGAACAGTTTATAAATACAAAGCAAACACTTCTTCAATAAATAAATGGTCCTTAAAGTCTTCACCGATGACCTTGGGGATCTTCTGTCACTGCTTCCCCGCCAGTGGCACTCCTGGCCAGAGGAATGGGGTATTTCCTGTGGTTAGGTAACAATTCTTCCATCACACACACACTTCATCAGTACGTGTCTTCATAGTCTGAATCCTAAAAGGGCAAGAATAGCAGATGTTTGTGCACTACAATGCCACAGTCAGATGTAGGCAAAGACCATGTGTCTGGGGTCTCCAAATGAACCTACCTAGCTTGGGGTAACAATGGTGGGATATCCCTGACAGCACACCTAAGTTCCATGGAGCATCACAGGACCTCCATACAATGTGTCTAGCGGACTGATTACTGCTTTGAAGCCCTGATGGTTCTCTTTTCCTTTATGACTGTACTTTAGAACCTAAACACACCAGAAAGATGCTTGCCTACTGCAGAACGTGCAGGGCTGAGGTTAGGAGCTCGTTTACCTCCTTCCAACCTTTCTCGCTAAAGCACACTGAGACCTGCACAGTTATTTCCCTTCTCTGTGACAGCTTCAGCATCTCTGAAATGGGGATAATAAAAACATACCTCCCAGAACTGCATGAGACAACAGTTTCTCAACACTCTTGACCAGCACTCCGGAACGTACTTTTGAGTGCAGCTCTACTTCTTCTTCTCCTTTTTTGTTTTTGTTTTGTTGGTTTTTCGAGACTGGGTTTCTCTGTGTAGCCTTGGCTGTCCTGGAACTCACTGTGTAGACCAGGCTGGCCTCCAA